ATTCCTTCCCCGCTCATATATATATGTGTACATATATATATATATATATTATTTTTTATATGTACAAAAGAAACTTTACTGTAATTGTGTCCGACTCTGAAGTTTCATGGTAATAAGTCCACTTTTCAATATATATTAGATGGTAGAAAATTTACTCTGTTGTTTATATATATATATATATATATATATATATAGTTGTATATTTAGGCAGCAATCCTTCCTTTATCCATGTTTCATTAAAAACGACCATGAAGGTACTACGGTTAAGCTTTTTATTCTATTTTTTTGTGTTCTAACAAGAGCTTTCTTTTCTTGACAAAGGATGTGTAGAACTGTCCAAATGTTTTATATTTCGGAACGCTTTCGGCTATAATGGCTAAAGGTATAGCCGAAAGCGCTCGGAAATATATAACATTTGGACAGTACTTACACATCCTTTGTCTAAAAAAAGAAAGCTCTTGTTAAAACACAAGAACAATTAAATAAAAAGCTTAATTGTAGTACCTTGTCTGTCGTTTTTGAAAATGAAATATATATATATATATATATATATATATATATATATATATATATATATATATTTATATGAATAGCAATACTCGTTCGGTAAAAATCTCGGATACCACATGTAGAGATGGCAAATTAAATCGGTATCCGAGAAATACAATATAGCCCCCGTCCTGGGTATGAAGATAAACTAAATCCACGTCCTGGGTAAGACGATAAACGAATCCATCCTGCAAAGCCTCTGATCAGGAGGCTTTGAGGAGTTGCTGGTGTTCCCAGGTCCACACTGACCCGGGGTGGTAGCACCTGTGAGGGTCCCAGCTATGGGAAAATAGGGAACAAAACACTATGAAAGGGTAAAAATATATTTTAATACCAGAAATTCTTTGTAAAAAAAATATTACCAGCAATAGATTTTTGAAGAAAAATTATTACCAGCAATATATTTTTGAAAAAAAAATATTACCAGCTATACATATAAAAAAAAAAAGATAATTACCGGCTATACATTAAAAATAAAAAAATTACAAGCAAATCATTTTTGAAAACAAAATTACCAGCAATAAAATTCTTGTCGGCATTAAATAACCTATTGAGGTTGATAGGCCGTAAACCAAAGCAATATAGCCCAGTTGCTAAAAGCGTTGGTTGAGCGATCCAAAATGTTACTTGAAGAATTGAGTTACTTAGGAGAATTAATTGATACCGAGATATTCAAAGACATACCACTTAGAATAAGAACAATCTACCATCGTGGACCAAAGAAAGGGTTCGTTTCGAAATTCCAACGTATATGACTTGGAGAAGCTCGTCGGGAGTATGACAATAAAGATGAGGACAACAGTCCGAACGATATAAATGATGTAAATAGACAAAATGTTTGAGGTAGCCCTGTATTATTAACAAGAAAAACAACTTACAATGAGATAGGTTTGCATTTTTCACATAATAAACTTGCAGTAACTACAGTGTATATGGTTTCATTCTAATAAAAAAAAATAAGCACTTAATTATTAAAAAATATCATACAACAGTGACAAGTTTTGTTTTCGTCGATAAAACCTCAACCTGCCTTAATTACGTCTTTACAGATTCATGGCATATTTTCCAACAGTTTTTGGGAAAAAAATATAGATGGCAGACCATCCCAAGTATTCTTCAAGCATTCAAAAAGCTCACCTTCACTCAATGAGTATTCTCTCCGAACTCCCCTAATCAAAACACCCCATACTAATTTAATGGGAGAGAGAGATCAGGAGATTGGGGCGCTGAAGTTATAATTTCCTAAAATGTGCTTCCTTTTTTTTGTCTCGAGATAATTTTGATATAATTTAGAAAAGTTTTTTGAATCGTTTTCTTGTTGAAAGTTGATTTTTTTCAGCTTATACATCAAGTAGTTGGTATATCATGTCTTTAAAAAATCAAAAGATACAGTTCTTTTTTCATGATTCTCTTAACCAGAATGAAATTTCCCGCCCTTTCATCCCCACAAAATGGCCGGCACCCACCACCATGTTTAATTTCTGGAACCATATATTTATCATTCAGATTTTTTTCTCCTGGCCTCCTTCTCAAAGTCAGTCTCTTCTTACTACCAAAATGTTTAAATTTGGACTTGTCTGTCTACAATACATTTTGCAACTCTTTCAATGTCCAATTCTTATGTTTTGTTTTTGTTTGTTTTTTATGCGTAACAGCCATTTCGGCGTATTCTCCTTCCTTGATTGCTAGGCGTCCTCTCCGCCCTGCTGATCTAAGTCGATTTTTCACAGCTGAGAGCGACACTGTTTGCTGTCGGGAGGAACTAAGTTCAGATGTCAACTCTGGAGCAGTTTTCATTCTATTTCTTTTGCATTCAATAATCAAGTGTTTGTCTTCAGCAGCAGTTGCTGCTTTTATCGCTCCAGTTCTTTGTCTTTCAACATTTGCACCAGTTTCTAAATACCTTTGTAACGATTATTACACTCCATGTCTAGAAATCTTTATTTTCTTGTCAATTTGTCTTTGAGACTAGCTTTCTTTGATTAAAATTTCAATTTCTGCCCTCATATAGATGCTTAGCTGTGTTATTTTTGCTATTTTGTTCGA